GAATCTCATCCACCAGATTCTGTGACAAGGAACGCTTTTCAGTGCCTGAATGGAAAAAAATACTTCAGTTCACATGCACAACATATGATTAAAAACTGATGTGTTAAAGATAAAGTTCAAATCTAAATAATGATTAGTGCCAAAAACTTCAGGCCAACTGACTTCAGCCTTCTTTCTAATACTTTACTCTGTCCCAAGTCAGAAATTTAAGATGACTGCAGAGAATTTAAATAGGTTTAAAAACTGAGCTTGACTTCAAATCAGTGTTAGGTTTACTGAGAAATGGGCATTTTGTAAAAGATATTATAAATTTGTGACTCTCTCCTACTGAGTTTTCGTTTTTGTTAAACTCATTCTGAATAGACAGAGTTGACCTTTTAACTCCGATAATATCAGTGTCCCTGTACGTTGGGAGTTCTGTGCCAGACATTACGGTCCTGGTAATAAAATGTTCTGCACATGAACAGAAAGACAAGTGTTATAAAAAGGAAATTAGCACCACCTTTCCTTTGTCTTGTTGCTTTAATATTTCTGTTAACACTAAACTAATATGTAGAACACCTTCCTGAGATGAAAAGGGGAACTTCTAATGGCATTGCTAAGGGTTGGATAGAAAATTCAGACGTTTTGTAAGGACAATAAATATTTCTAATTAGTATTTGTTTTTCCTTTCTTATTATGCATTTGAAAGAACTCTGTATTTCAAAATGAGGATTAATCTTGTAAAACTTAATTGAAAATTATTTTTTTTCTTGAATCATAGAAAAACCAAACCATGCACCTGCTTACTTCCTTTTTCATAAAAAGGTTTAAAAAAAAAAAAATCTTAGCCTTTGTCCCAGACCATTCTTCTGGGGTGGCCCTGCAGGTCCCCTTGCAGGAAGAAGGCAGCTGGGTGCTGGCTAAATGGTGACATTCACTGTGGCTGTTGGTGAGGGGGGGTCTGAGGAATGAGCCACACCTTGGGAAACTTATTAAGGTTTTGGCTGATTGTGTTGTGAAAAACTAATAATATGCAGTCAAATGTACAAATATCTCAATTACAACAGTTTGGGGCATTTATAAATGTGTAACAACTTTCCAACTAAATGAGAATGTCTGTTAAATTGCATAAAGTTCTTCATCATACTTGTTTTCCAAATTAAGTGAAATTCCAGTCCAGATTTCTGATGGACTAATGAAGAGATCAGGTTTCCTCTCAATGACTGATTGTAGGTTAAGTATCCTAACAACAAAAGGAGGCAGGAAAAACTAAGGATCTCTAGTAATTTTATTCTGTCAGGCATTCTTTTGAAATGTGTGTGATCAATCCATTTCATTTTGTTGTCAGGGGTTTTTTATCTTCATTTCTTACACTTCGAATAGTGCCGTCATCCACAACATGGTTTTTCAGTGCACGGATAAAGCAGACCAAGTTTATTACCTGAAAATAATGCAAGTTTGCATGAATCTCTTGGCCATGTTACCACTAGCATAGTTTTCTGTTGTTGGTAATCCTGCTTCATCCTTCTGGAACATTCCTAAGGGTTGTAACAGTGTTACAGCTTCCTTGGTGGCTTCTGGATCTAATTCTGTGAGTTTAAGTCCATGAAATATGTCACGTACCAGGTGCTGTTTTCAAGGTGATCTTGATGTCCTATTGAGAGAAAAAATTACTGGTTGCCAGTGAAAGGTATTGGCAATTTTTCTTCGGAAAGGTGCAGGCTGAGGTGTTGTCTGGTATTGGAAACAGTAATTTTTAGGTTGATTTTACAGACATACTGTATATTTTACTTTTTAAGGTAATATGCTACTGGTTATTAGAAACACTCAAGTGGTGTTTGGCAAGTCCCTTCAGATGTCAGTTATGAGATTAATGGGTATGGTGACAATGATGCTCAAAGCCTGATGAATGCTCAGGAGAGGAAAACAGCTTTGTTGCCAAAAGAGCAAAAGCCATGTCTGCTGACCCTGTTGCTAATGCACTTATCAAACTAGTTTTCTCCCTAAGTTAGGCAAAACTAAACATCTAAAAATGAGGGATTGCAATTGCAAGAGAGCTTAGCTCACACAGCTACACTGAAGCAGGCAGGCTCTCTGAAGTATCCCAGTAATCCCTAAAAACTGCTTCCGTGCTGCCATGTGCACAGTCGGGCTTCTCCAAAGGGCTTCTCCTCCTGGGGACGGGTGCACCGTGAAGGTGTCCTGCTCTGGCAGCATGCTCAGGGGAGGTCATTCCCTGCCACACTCCTAACAAAAATAAAGCATTCACGGAACTGAGGGTGGTAGTGTATTGAGCATCTAAGCATGCTGGATGTGCCCAGAGGTTGCAGACAGTCCCTCAGTAACCGAAATTCAGAGATGTCACAAGTGGCTGAACAAGCAAATATCACCAGTTAATGGTTAAGCTCTCAATTTACTAAAGCATTTGTTACCAGTTTGCCAAAGAGATCAAACAACCGTGAATCATAACCTTGGCTACTAATTAAATCCTTTATTCCCTTCCCTCATTGCAGAAGCATTTAATCTTAGGGAATCGGGACAGCCTGTTGTGCAGAATTAGATTTTACAGCATAAGTAGAAACAAGCTTACTGTAAGGTTTCTTACTGGAACTGGAAATGGGAAGGATTAGAAGGAGAATATTAACTTTCCTTTTTGGCATGGTAGTTCATGTCAGCACTGAAAAATGATTGATGTGGAATAGCTGTATTGGAAAATCATTTTGGTGGTGTAGTTTTGTTATTTTACTGAATGGCAAATATAATTTTTATTATCCGGCTGCTTTTCCTATAGATGAGACTTGTCCTCTAGATAGAGAATGAGGGATTTGGTGTGCTTTACTAGTGACTGGCTGTCACAAAGAAAAATATTATACTCAGAAATGATGGACTGTGAAGAACACCCCAGAGGAAATGAGGCATAAACCAAGATACTACAAGCAGTTTTATTGCCATTCAAATATATTTCTATTTGTCAAAAGATGTTTTTGTGTGCTTTTATTTGTAGGATGTATAGCTGCGTGATATCACACCTTTGATATTTACTAGCAAGTTAAGCAGCATTTACCTTTTTGGCTCCCATCTCCACCAGGGAGAACGTAAAAACCCAAACACTTTATTTCCCTTGGCTTTTGGGGAAGTTGTCCTTGTCCCTAGCAGCAGAATGATGCAGCATGGGGGTACTGTGAACTAGCATTAGGCTAACTGTCCACTGGGAATTGATCCAAACACTAAGCTATCCCAGTCAGGAGTAGCAGATTTCCGTTTTTATAACTCAAACCATGATGTTGCAGCCATTTCTGTGGGAGCAGGAGCCTGAAGACAGTGTGTCTAAGACATCTCAGTAAGGTGTTAAGAGAGAAGAGCCTCCCTATGCAGATCCAGCTGCAGATTTGGTGCATAATTATTGAGGTACAGTCAATTTATATGAATACATTTAGAGGTGTAGCGAGCTTTTCACATGTGGTGAAAAGTTGTATGTTATTAGCTTGAAAAGCAATGTATTTTATCCTGTTTCTGGAGAAAGCAATTTTTTCTGCCATTGCTAAATCTGAACAATTCCTATAACAGAAAGAATGTACCGGAGAGACAATAGCTACAAGTAGAAAATGATGGCGTTTTTTAGTTCTGTTTTTGGCTTTGCAGAAAGCTGTTTTCCTAATAAAACGTGTGAGTTTTCAGAAAGGGAACACCCCAGCTACTCCTATCCAGAGGACAGGCATCCACCATTTGCACATACAGAACTTTCATTTGCGGGGAGAGATTTGTCACAAAGAAACATCTGAATACTCGCTAAAATTCCAGGTTATATTTAGCTGAAGAGGCTTAGGTGATACCCTGCCATATCACACCAAAGACCCAAACTTGTATGAACTTGTACAGAACTTAATTATGACTTGTCTATCCCTTAGTGAGTATGAATGCTGTCAGGTTCAATACAGACAAAAAGCACTGCAAATTGACATCTCAAAATGCTGGTCTATCAGTATTACTAATAACAATTTTGTAAAGATAAAACGTCTGGAATATCTAACTCTGCTTTTGATGCTACTCCCTAAAACCATCACTGGAAGTCTGAGATGAGAGTTAGAAATGCTAGAAGTTCATGCACTTAAAAAGGAAATAAGGAGTGTGCTGTAATGTCATTGAAGCACATCTTGATAAGAGTAATAAAATGAGCAAAGTGAATAATGGCCACAGGTTAAATGTTTGATTTGATACTTTAATGTTAAGAAGGAAAATGCACCATTTTTGCAAGCTTTGAAAAATTTGGAATATCTGTTGGTCTTAATGCACTGTTTGAAAAATAATGTCAGCTACTATGGAAATCAGTTATTTCAAAGTACAAAGAGCGAATTATTATTTTTTCATTCTGCTTTCAGTTCATATGCAAATGCATTTGATTTTTTAAAGATCTTTCAGATTATTTTGTCTTTATATAAACTTACAGTTCAGTTTGGGAATTCATGTGTGTGTAGATGTTGCATCCAGCTACCACTAGAACATTTGGATTGCATAGGGAGTCAACAACTCAAAAATTTTTTAAGTGTTTTTTTTTTAAATAATTCTTTGAAAAACAAAGAATTCTTGTAATTGAAGAAACATTGTCTAGGAATTGGGGGAGGACACCACAAAAATAAACAAACCTCAAAACTGAAAGCTGGATTTCTGGAGTGACTGCGTATAAAAACTGTTCATGGCTGAATATGCAGGAACTCGAGAGTTTGGGCTTTTTTTGTGAAAATGAAACTGGGAGATGTGGGTAGAGGTTATGTGGACATGTCTTTTACCTGTGAAATGTATGCAAACCCAGCATAGGTCAGATAAAACCCTGGATTTTTATAGCCCTCTTGAAAGGTGAGGAAGGTCAATATAATGGTGTGTTGTGCTCCCAGGCTGTAATTGCAACTACTTCCATTACACATTCACGTGTTAGTGAAGCATTTACTGCAGACTGTTATATTTACTGTCTGGATGGAGATGCTCTTTCACCCCACTCACCTGCCTCATTTTTCCCACAGGCTGCGGGAACATCACCGTGCTGCAATTAAGGTGATTCGTAGGATGCAGTACTTTGTGGCAAAGAAAAAGTTTCAGGTGAGTTGTGAATAAAAAGCTTCTTTTCTAAATAAACCCTTTTATTCTCCTTATTCATTGTTTCTTTTAGAAACTTAAGAGAGACTAACACAATTCATTTCAGTAATGGTGAGCTACACCCACTATTCTCTCCCTCCTTCAATAGGGTGGTTGTTTCGCAGCAGGTTAGTCAACTGTGGATGCACTGGAAATAGGCTAAACTCCTGAAATGCAGTCTGAATTAAAATGTTATTTTCTGCTAATGGACTTGACCCTTAACCCTCTGTTATCGCTGTCTCTTTCTCGCAGTGCAAACATTCTCGTATGTCTCCATTAATTCTGAGCTGTATGCTGCTGTCATGCCGAGTCAGTAGGATTAGAGATTAAAATACTACCTCAACCTTGTTTCTGTCCCTTACTCAATGATAATGAAGTCCTGATAAGAAACCAGGGTGGAAATTTGTTAGTGTGTTTGAAGGTGTCTTCTTTCTTTTCCCTTCTCCCTCTGCATAGGTAGGAGACCTCCTTCCCAGTTTATGAGATACTCGTTCTCTTCACTCCTCTGACCCTCACTGACATACCTTTCCTGTGTGCCACTTCACTTGCTGTGGTCTTGTGCTGCCATAAGCATTTGACAGTGGCCAATTAACCTTGTTACCTGGTCTGAATAAAAAATTATGACTGCAAACTTTCTAAAAATCAATTTTGGTTAATCCAGTAAAAACACATGTTAACAGCCTTCAGCTTGATTTAAACCAGGTGAATATATATATATATATATATATATATATATATATATAACTTTGCTTAAAATTAATGAATAATGGATAATCTCTGGAGAGCAGGCTTCACAACTGAAAATGCAAAGGAAGAGTGGGTCTTAATGGCCCACATCCATTTTCATATATGACCTCTCCACTACTGTTTATAATAGACCAAAAAGCTTTCCCACCCTTAATCTAGACCCTCCAAAAAGGGAGGGTGTCCTTTTTCCTTCGAATTTCAAGGGCACAAAATTTAGGATCCAGAAGGTGATGATGATGACTAACGGTCCAATATATCTGTAAGACAGTGTCAGCTGCTATTTCCAACCCATGATTCTGACTTCCTTATTGAAATTTAGAAGCACTGTCTGAATTCCTTAGCAATTTTCTACTTTGAATACTTTCATTTTTACTAAAATTCATGATCTAATTTATGGCTAAGCTTGCCTAAACTTCTCAGAAAATTTTTTCTGTTATGTATAATGTATTCATACAATCACCATTTAGGCTGAAATCACCCATGGCCAGGCTTTTCTTGAAGAGAGCACTTTCAGAAACTTTCAGCTATCACATTTCACCTATTTTTATTATTAGACTAAGGTTAAGTAAGGCACAACGTCCAGACTACTTGAAAATAATATTTATAGTCATTTTGTTTAGAAGTTCTTTCGCACTTGCTGGCCAGCACTTGTAACTTGGCAAGGGACGTAGCCCATTCCAGTGATGTGTCTACTGCTGTTGTGTGAAAAATTGCCTAAATATGGCCAGTTCCATTTAACTTTAATTTATTCACTTAATTTTGATCCTTTGCACTGTGGTAATTACTGGATCAGCGCTCTCATAAATTTAGATCATAAAATATTTGCCATGGTATTAACTAAACTGCTTAGAAACAAGAAATCTACATATTGTATATCTGCCTCCCAAGTGGTATTTGTCAGAAACAGATTTTGAAAATGCCTGAACGCTGTGTGCAACATTATCCACCTGGCAAATAAACGAAACTCCCCTGCGGCAGATGATTTGATAGAAGCTGAAAAAGCATTTGACTGAATAGAATGGGACCATTCAGTTCATACTTAAAACTTGTTTGTGCTCAGTATCTCGGTTGCTAATCTGGCTTCTCAGTTGTACTCTCACTTTTGGATCTGCAAAAGACCTGGTCCTGGCCATCTACAAAATCCCTCAACAAGGTTGTCTGTCATCCTCCTTTAGCAGTCTTTCTTCTTCCTGAACGTTCAATATTAGCTGTTACTAAAGAACTAAAAATGTCAGTTTGGCTGAAGTAGAATGTATCTCAAGTCACTCCTGTGTGCAAGTGATACGCTGCTGTTTCTGTCAGAAACAGAATCTCCCAATAGGAATGTAAGGGGGTATCTGATACTTCTCCATAATTTCTGAATACAAGGTTATGACCGAGTTTAAAAATTTGGAGAGCACCAAAGATACAGTTTTCCAAAGCACCTAAGTAACGTAATGCACAAAGTCACCTTGAAATTCAAGCCACAAGGTGCTTTTGAAAATCTCTCCAGTAATTAAAGAGATAACCACTGCCATTATTCTTTCGTCAAAAGTACGTTGTAAATCTGCTTTGTTCTGTTGTATGCACATAAAATAATCATAAGAAATAAAAATGTTTAAACATGTGCCAAGTAATGACTGTACTGTTTCTAATAACCAGACCAATGTAGTATCTGAAATTAAGGTAAAGCAGAAGATGCATTTTAAAAATGTATCTTTCAGAATGTAAGGGGTCTGTGTAGCTGTTTTCTGGTAGATATTTGTTTTCTAAGCTTTGTGTTTATGTGAAATATATGTTAAAAAAAATCAGATATTTTCTTCCTATAACTATTGGGAAAAAAAACAACAAACCCACAACCGAATTTCATCTGAAGTCCATTGGACTATTCATGCTTAAAATTAGCTGGAACATTAAGCAAGGCCAGCACTTTAAAGGAGTACTTTTTAGAGATGCCTGTGAAGCTTTTGAGAAGGGCAGCATAGGAAGAAGGAGAGGAAGAGGAAAATTTTGCAAAACAGGTCCCAGCATGAACCCAGCATGGTTCTTAAACTATACCAGCTGTTTGCAGGACACACCTGTATGCCTAAATTTGACTAGATACATTTTTTTAAGAGATCAGTTAATAACAGGGGGTGATGGTACCACCAGGACAAAAGCCAGCTAAAAAGCAAAGCCTTCCTGTTTAAAAAAAAAAATTAAATAAAATAAATAAAGAAAAGCTAAACAGGGAAACAAAGAATTTCAAAGGACATGAAAAGCAAGTCTTTGTGAAGCAAATGGGTTTCATTTCCTCTTAAAAAAGCAAGAGAGAAATTTAGACTGTATTTCAAAGTTGGGTTTAAATATAGTCCTTATGATGATACCCGTGTAAGAACCCAGCATACTATTATAAAGAATTAATACCTTTTTTATAGATGTGTTTATGTTCTCATAAAGTCTGTAGACTGTTTCAAATTCAGTACAAAAGATCACATTCTACTAGTAGTCAACACAAGTCCTGTGCATCAGTTAAGGTGAATGGCTTATGGTTAAGGAAGGATTCTACAGATTACAGGGAAAGTAGATTTATAAATTAATTGTTTTCTAGGATTTGTTCACCCCACCTACCAAAAATCAATTTTCTGTATTTTTTATAACTCAGATGTCTTTGACACAGCCTAACCTTATAATTGAATTTCAGAAAGAAAATCACCATACTCAGTTATTCCATTAGCTTGATTCATGAATGAATAGCCTTTGTTTTCCAATTAGGAAAGTTTCTAAAAGTCTTAAAACTTATGAACATGGATACAACTGTGGTACCCATCACAGATCCAGAGACCAAAAATTTGTTCTGATTTCCCATTGTCATTTTTAAATCTTCTTTTTTTTTTTTTTACTTTCTTTACATGTAAATTCTTCCTGTTGAGTAAATTAATTTCCTTCTAAAATACAATTTTAACTTGTGGTATGTCTTTCACCATGGCAAATGTTCTATACATAGCATAAATTAAAAATACAGGTTGCAGCTCTACTGATGACATAACTGTTGCCTGATCTGTTACAATTTCCCTGGAAAATCTTACATTTATAATCTTGTAGTTCATCATCTTACGTAATTCATTTGTCGTGGTATGAATCATGAATTGTGTGTGCAATCTTTTCTAATCTCCATACTGGGCTGTACCAAACAATATACTTCAGTGTCCTGTGCTTCACAGGATGTTCTACCCATTTTTTTTTTTACTGTTATTTGGTTACATTTCCGAGAAATTCCCCTTGCCCAGGTTCCCCTCTCCCTTTCCCAGGTTATGCCTCCCTGCCCATTCAGTTACTAGGGAACAGCAACAGCCAGTAGTGCACATTTAATATTTGGCATTGGCTTTTGTGCCTTTTGCAAACTTTCATATATGATGGGGGAAGTTTTAACTCATTTAAGAAGAGTTTTGCCATGAGTGTTGGTTAATTAGCAGAGGAACAAAAGTAAAGAAGAGTTAAAGGAAAGCTGTGGGGCTGGCTTCTACTTTTGTTTCTTCAATACTCATTCATTGCCTGCTGCAGGTTTTTTTCCTTTTAAAAAATTAACATCAGGACTATTTTCTCATGAAAGATCAGCTTTCAATATGAAGTAACTACAGAAAAATCAGTACTGACTATTAAATACCCTATCGTACTCAGAAATTAAGCTTTATTCATAAATTCTATTTACTCCAGGTTTTCAATTCATGTTTAAAAGAGAAAGAAACAGCCCTGTAAACGATAAACAGGCAGAGACATACCTACTCTGTCTACTGTCAGGCTCCTGTGTGAGAGTATGAGGATGGCAAGAGAAAGCTCTTCATCTTTGTTCTTACTGAATTAACAGCTTTTCTTAACCTGGAGTTTTCAAGCTCACCTTTCAGATTTCTCTCTTGCTTATTTACAGTACAAAAATAATCTAGAACACTTCTTTTTTTTTCTTTTTTTTTTTTTTAATATCATCATGTTCACAGTACTAGTCCAGGGAAAGATGGCTTCTGCCATCATTGAATCATATTTCTTTTTTTGTGGATGTTAGTTATGATTTATATGTGTGTAAGCAGTGGGGATTCTTGGGAATTCTTCTGTGCTCCTTGGTTAGATTGAAGCAATTCTTATTCCTGTTTAGCCTTCCACTAGTGAGTATATCATGTTCATGCAAGGTTTGCAGGAATCTGGCTGACTGAAATATAATTTTTCTAATGAAGTGATGTTATTAAAGTAATGATTCCTGAAATGTGGGAGCTACTTCTCAGGCAGGTGCAGGGAACTGCACAGGGGACTGCCACAGCCTGTTTTTTATATTGTATCCTTCTTTCCTTTGACTTAGAAAAGAAGGTATTTGTGGCATGGAATTGAGGAAAACCTGCAGTGTGTGACGTAAGATAAAGCAGTGCAGAGACATCTGCTTCTGAAGTACAGGTGACAGAACAGTTTTGAGACCTCAAACGGGATACAGATTCTGGTATCTTAGAAGCTACCACTGTAAACTCTTTTTCTTACTCTAAAAGCAGCAAGAAAGGGGAAGTTGTAACAGTGTTACCAAAGTTTTCACTAAACTTTGAAATTAGCTACAGGATATCTGTAGACAGCATAATGAATGGGTCAGAAATCATAGAATTATAGAATAGTTTGAGTTGGGAGGGATGTTTAAAGGTCACCTAATGCAAACCTCTGGCTTGAGCAAGGACATCTTCAACCAATCAGGTTATTCAGGGCCCCTTCCAACCTGACCTTGATTGTTTCCAGGGATAGGGCAGCCACAGTTTCTCTGGGCAGCCTGTTTCAGTGTCTCACCACCCTCTAAGTAAAGAATTTCGTCCTAATATCTAATCTAGACCTGCCCTCTTTCACCTTGAAGCCATTACCCCTTATCCTATTACTACAGGCCCTTGTAAAAACTCTGTCCCCATCTTTTTTAAAAGCCCCCTTCAAGTACTGAAAGGCCACAATGAGGTCTCCCTGGAGCCCTCTCTTCTCCAAGTTGAACAACACAACTCTCTCAGCTCGTCTTTATAGGAGTGGTTCTCCAGTCCTCTGGTCATCTTTGTGGCCTCCTCTGGACTCGTTCTAACAGGTCCATGACTTTCCTGTGCTGGGAACTAAACAATTCTGGCACTGATTGCACTGTAGTTTCTAGATGTAGGATTAAGATATTTTTAATTTGTTCCTGCACTTTGAAATGTTTGTTCACTTGCTTTCCAGTTAGTTTTGGTGTTTATAGGTTAATAGTATTGCCCTTATCTTTAATTCTAAAAAAAAGTTGTTTTACTGCTAAGGTCAGATTAAGTCTTTCCCATGTATGCCATTCAAATTACAGACAGAGGGCTTTCTCCCTCGTCATTCCTTGCACCAGTATTTCCCAGTAGCCTTGAAAGCTCAGCCACTCTTTCTGGAAGAGGAAATCAGTCATGCACCTTCATCAAGGATTGTGCTTTAACCTTCCTGTGGTAAGACCTGAACTGAGAACCCCAGCTGCTGACTGAGAACAGGGGCTTGTGCAAGTGAAAGACCTCTTTATTGTTCAGTGGCCAAGGAGTATGAACCTTGTTTTCAGAAGCAACTAGAGTGAGCACAGACTTCTGATCAAAGTGCCAGATAAACTTTTTTTGTCTCCAAGTTCTTTTGGGCTCCATTTTGGTGGATAATCTCTTGAAAGGCGTATAGGTCTGCAGTTAGAAAAAGGTGGATGAAATGAGAATTGTCAAAATCACCAAATATGTGTGATCATGGCAACAATCAAAGTAACTCATACAGTTATAATAACAACTGTGTTAAAAGGAATTAGAAGAACTTACTGTTTACTCCTCAAAAACATCTACATTGTCACACACCGTTCCTACATCCTTGTGTCTTAAAGCCATGTTTTTGTCTCTTATTTTACAGCAAGCTAGAAAGCCCTATGATGTCCGAGATGTTATTGAGCAGTATTCTCAGGGTCACCTCAACCTGATGGTGCGAATCAAGGAGTTACAGAGGAGGTATGTCCGTGAATTCACTGTTGGTATCCGTAAACAGCAGCAGAAGGATGTTTGTAAATTAGGCAGTGATTGGGCCTCACGGACAAAAAGCTGATGGTGTTTAAAGTGCCATATTGGTAGGACTGTGCAAAGTTAGTGAATATAAAGTGACATTTGAGTAAAAATTTTCTTTTCCTACCAGGAAGAGAAGACAAAAGGCTTAAAAATCTGACGATTAGGACGTACATGTATTACCTCAGTTCCTGCTAGCTTTGACTATATGTCAAATCCTTGTATGTTAGGGGCTGTATTATACCTAGAGAGTTCAATACTCTCACCAGCTCTGGTAGAATTGCACTTAAGAGCAAATTTAGAGATGACAGATAGATGCAGCAAGAAAGCTGCAGAGGAACAAGGAAAAGAGGAAACAATGCTGATCACATGGAAAAGTGATGGGCATGGTGAAACTTTACAGTTGTTAAAGAAGCTGTAGACCAATCTAAGTCTAATCCCATTTTGTTATTTTTTTTTTAGTTTTAATCTATTCTTAGCACAAAGCAATGGCTTCAGTTACAGGACAAACCCAGAATTATTTGAACTTCACTTTGCTTGTTTGTGAAGAGGCCTCCCTGCTCCAGCTAGAGAAAGTGAAGATGCTGGTTCAGCTAATAAAAAAATAAAAATTATTCTTTTTGATTTATAGGTTGGACCAGTCCATAGGGAAACCATCTCTTTTTATCTCTGTCTCAGGTAAGCTAATACAAAGGACATGTCTAAAATTAATCTGATAAAGTTATAGTTAATGGAAAATACTTGCTAAAATACTTTTCATTTTATTGCCAAATTTTTAAACAGTGTCAACTGGTTGTGCTCTGAGGATTCGGCATTGGCAATAATATTTAGTCATCAACACCTTTAAATTAGGGTTGTTCTTATTTAGCACAAAGGACTAAATTTGTTTGTGACAAGTCTAGCTAATGAAAACTCTTTGTTTATGTCATTTGAAAACTCATTTTCTACATACTTTGAGGGGGGAAAAATGTGTGGGGGGAAACATGTCACCAAATGTGTTATTTCGAGTTGACTGTAGAGTCCTTTGTGTAATGGCAGATTGTTTTTAAGTGGCAATTAAAATATTAACTAAATTGGGAACATTTTTGTTCTCCCTGGTTAAAGCATAAAACTAAGGTTGAACATGCCTTAAACTTAAGGGCTATTAAATGCTGTGGCGTGGGCCAATTTTCTACATAATTTGTGGGGGGAAAAATGGGGTGGGGGAAACGTCACCAAATGTGTTATTTCGACTTGACTGTAGAGTCCTTTGTGTAATGGCAGATTGTTTTTAAGTGGCAATTAAAATATTAACTAAATTGGGAACATTTTTGTTCTCCCTGGTTAAAGCATAAAACTAAGGTTGAACATGCCTTAAACTTAAGGGCTATTAAATGCTGTGGCGTGGGCCAATGCTATAAAAAGAAATAAAAACTGCTTTTAAGGAATAGATCTATCACCCTGGCAAAGGTATTCAGTTACACAGTGTTGGTGGCCTAGTTAAACACACCCTGTTGTGGCTAGCTGCTATTTTGTTATACCACCATATATTAAGTTGAAAATGTTTCTTGTTCCACAGAGAAAAGCAAAGATCGAGGAAATAACACGATTGGTGCCAGGCTGAACAGAGTGGAGGACAAGGTAAGCCTCAGTTGAACTGTCAGTGAATGAGGACATGGTTTGTGATCGAACAGTGCTTATTTCATGGGATGTGGAGGAAAATTCAGCTTAAAATAGAGTTGAAAGCCTGGCTTTTCCAGGTGATGGAGCATAATTTTTGTGGTAGATTGCATTTTTGGTTCTTACTTGTCATTTTAACAGAGTAAGACAAAAACAGACTTTAATTGATTTCAGTCTTTTTTGGGACTCTCTTGGGTTTTTTTATTTTTAATTGCATATATTACATATGTCTCAATGCTTTACTTCCTTCCTCCACAGTAGATAAAAGGCTCTGTTCCTTTAATACCTCAGTATATTATGGTCCCTAAGATTTCCCTTTGATCGTTGCTCTGTTGTTTATATAAGTCCACCTACAATTCCTTAGAGAGAGAAATAGCAAACTTTGTTCCATCCTGGTTTTCATTCCTTACGACAAATGAAATTTCTCCTTTCAAGTGACGTGAATCCAGAAAAATCAGACTTGTTCTATAATCACAAATTATCAGTTAAGTGCTTTGTAACCCTTTATTTCAATGCTAGCTGTGCCTGAAAAATTAGATGACAGGTACAGGCTATGTCATTTTTAAAAAATATAGGTTTACCTACATTGGTATTAAGAAAAGAAAGGAAGAGTTAAGAGAAATAGTTTGAATCCTTTACTGATGTCTTACAGTGATTAGGTGAGGGAGTGAAAGAATTTCTTTACTGTAGCATCATTTCACTCATGTATCTGGAGTGTTCATTCATTATTAAGGACTGAAACTTTTTCTTGAGGAAAGGAGATTTCAGAGTGTTTCTTTCACAACTGGAACTGTGATAACCTCATGAAGAATTTGTTCTGAAGAAATATCCAGCAAATATTCTGTAAACTAAAACACATTCCAGGGAATGCAAACTGAGCACCCTGATCTGTATTGATTCACTTGTGACATACCCGCTCCTTATGCATTTCTCCTCAAATACTTCAGATAAACTTAAATGAGAGTACTTAGAACTGTACTTCATTCTACTGGAAATAATGGCATTTCAAAGGAAATGGGTTCCTTTTGGTATATAGGGGGACACATAGAAAGGGTGAAGTAGAATATAGGAAGGTACAGTGCATTTAGCACAAAGAAGAATCACTGTGCAGTGCTCCCTCGGATCTGTGGTTAGTATGTGTTCTTACACATGGAAGCCCTTTCCAGAAAGTTTGCACTACATTTATTTATTTTCTCTCCATAATGTCAACTAAAAGTGTGGAACACTAGAAAATGTCTTGTGACTTGTGACAGAGAGCGATGACTTTTCAGTTTGAACAAATAATTCTCAAATGACAGCTAAAGCTGCTTCTCAGTGCTATTTGTAAAATCTCCAGTGAGCCTGGGAAAGCTTTGGTGTTGTACTGGCTCAGAGATAAGCTGTTTGGGGGTTATTAATTACTCTTTTTTACATCCCTACAAATAAGTACACCGTGAATTTATAGTGACTGTTGTTTTATGTCTTTTAATGGGACTGTAAAACACTCCCTGTATAATTTTAGTATAGCCGGGTTAAATTTTAGCCTTGTTTTAAGTAACAGACCCTTCTTTCTTTGCAGTTGCATGAGGTCGTCTGTGGTTTCAGAGCTGTATGTTATCTGCCCTATACAGCTAGTCCTATCTGCAGGAATTTTATCTGAAAGTAGCTGAAAGGCTAAAAATAGAGAATTTCGGTTGGACTCAGCAAACAGTGGTTAATATAAAAACACACTGGCAATACTGAAATCACATTTTTGCTCCAGCTGTAGATGGTGGCCAAAGCTAATTTTTTCGTATTTTTACTCTCAGAGATTGGCCTTCTCTTTCCCATAAAATACATGGTACATGGTCTGCTTTCAACATACAATTAAATCCTTCCTGAGCTGAGCACTATAGAAAGAATATCTATATCAGCTGTTTTTCAAGGTGACTAAATATTTTAAACAGTTTCATCCCATTTGGTTTCTGAATTAGTTTTCAGTCTTGGATTTCAGAAGGAGAGATTTGAAGTGCTCCAGGCTACTGTAAGCATCTAACCACCTCTTGTACATTTGAAAAATCTCCTTTTTGTCAGAGGAGGCATATGTACAGCTGGCAGTACAGAGGAGTGGCACATGAAAGGGACATTTTAAAATAAAATGCTTAAACAGCAGTGTATTGACAGGAATTATAATCCTTTACGGTACGAATCTGACCTTTCAGGTATTGAAACCAGCAAAAAGTTGTGTTTTCTTCTTTAACTTTAGGAACATGTTCATTTGAGGTAGAGAGTTCTGTAGTCTGTTCATCTTGTGCACTGAGAGAAACTTTGACCTTGTGATATATGCAGTTTGTGATCATGAATCTAAAGATTGTTTCCTAATACACAAAAGCCAAAGGGATGAATCACTCTTGCAGGAGCCTTCCTGCAGATTCCTTTCCATTAAGTTTTGCAATTTTGGCAAGACACTGAAAAGGTGGTTTTGTGAATGTAACTAGAAACTGCACAGCCTGATGGGCCTTCGTGAGAAGAAATCACGATCCAACATGTAATCACGGCATATTTTGACTTTGCCACTGTTCTCTGTTGCTTGCAAAGCTGAGGGTAGCAAAGGCTGTGTTCTCCTCGAGGTGTATTGCCGTGGCTGAGTGCAGGCAGCTGCAGCCCCCGCCGTGCCCACAGCCCGATCTGTCGGGACACCAGCCAGCTGTGGTCCAGCAGGCATGTAAAGGCAGTAGTGCAGTGCCCAGGCTGAGCTCATAAACCCTGCCAAATACCCATGGTCCAAGTGTGTGCGTGTAGATACATTGATCCAGCCCCTCAGAGAATGTTGTTGAGCAGGATTACGGCAGCAGATCAATTTATTTGCGGTGACCAGCCTTCTCTTTTTGTCCTGAAACATCTGTGAATGACTATTCAGCCTACCCTCAAGGAACCTGGCCACAGCTGGCTTGCTACCAAGCTCAAAATCAAAAACAGTTTTTCCAGATGGGCCCAGCTGTGTGTGCACAGTGCTCTTCATCCTCACACAGCACTCTTCATCCTCACACCGCAAGCACTGCCTGCCAAGGGCTTAATGCTGGGTGTGCCCAGCAGCTCCAGCCAGGAGCAAGCCCACAGCGCGCTTGGGAAATTCTGTGTCCTACATCTCCTATTTTCTTTTCACTGCACTAATTTTAACTTGGCTATAAATTACTGTAATGCTAGCTTTTTAATTTTTAAATTAATCTGTTCTTTTTTGCCAACCATTAATTTAGCTATAGCAGGCGCAGCGTACACTTTTCAGGTAATCAGCCAGGCTTGTTGCTTGGCTGCCCTAAAGAAATTCGGTCTTAAATATGGGCACTGCACAAAATCATCTAGAATATGCAGTGAAGGCTAAAAGTGGCAGTTCTTAGACTCTCTCTGTTGTGCCTACACACCAGACTGCCCCAGATGTCGGTAGGTCCTGCCTACAGACCTCCCAGAGTAGAATAACAGAACCCAGATTTACAAAAAAATGTTAAAAACCATTCTGAGCAATAGACATTATGCTCTTTCTGTTGTTTTAAAAATAGGACTTAACTTTCTGCAATGGTTTGAACACTTTAAAGTGTGCCTTTCAAGAATAGTTATAGCAATCCAAAGCAATTTTCTGGGCATCCCTTCTAAATACTCAGAAATATTCCTCTATCTGACAGTAAGTACAGTCTTAGTATCAGTATTGCCAAGATCGTAACAAAAATCTTTCAATAGTCTTTTTCAGTTACATGGAACATTAGGAGTAGATGCTATCTGTTGCTAAACTTTAACTTGTAGAGATTTGAATGTAGAGTTCTATATGTAGAAAAGGTATGTGGTAGTGAGACATGTGACACCTTTTAATGTGAATCCAACAATTCTGCAAGATGGTACTGATTCCAAGCATATGCACATTTTGCATGCTTACAGCTGAGAAGTTGAATCCTTGTATTCTGACTATTACTAACCCAGAGAGTTAGTGCTCCTGGCACTTTTTCAGGTTTACTTGAAAAGCAGATAGCACCACTTTTAAAATCAATTAAAAACAAATCTGCCACATAAAAACCTCTACACTAAAATAGATGCTGCTGTGCTGCTTGAGTTGCCTACTGGAAATCTGAACTGATCTTGGAAACCAAAACCTTTTGAGTTCTGGTTATGCTGATTTGGTTTTCTGTCTTCCATCTACAGTGTCTTTGATTGATTGTTAAACATATAGAGGCCATGTGCAGTAAAATTCTAAGGATATGATATATATTTGATACGTTTTTCCCTGTGAGTGCTGAGTATGGAACTTTTAAAGATAAATAAGTGCAAAGGCTTTGTTTGAGGTAGCTTTCAAAAAATGGTGGTGACTTCATGTTACAACATTTATGTATGTGGTATGACATTTTCTTCTAGCTAAATAATTTTCTGGAATTGTTTCACCAGAGTATTGTTTCTATCTGTACATGTATTAGAAACTAGTTTGGCTGGAACAATGTTGACAGCTCAGATGAACAGAATGACCATTGATAAGGCTGGGTCTAGTTTCTGATTTTATTCCTGCTCTTTTCCACTTTCTAATCAGCTAACAGCTCCCCATTGCAAAAGGTTTCATATCTAACACTTCTCTTGTTGATTTGCTCAAAAATACATGAACTTGAGTTATATATTGCAGAGGGATTTCCCTGTAATAGTAATAAACTTCCTATTTTATTGTATCATAAGTTAAATTGTGATAATTCCATTTCTAATAATGAACTCAAGCTCATCCAAAGCAGAAAGGTTTAGGACATGCTGCAGAGACCATTAAAGGTGGTAGGTCTTTCCTTTGACCTGACCTTATGGTAGTCTTGAGGAGCCAACATTTCAATTTTCAAAAATACATGGTTTCATGTTGACAGCTTGTTCACCTCAAAGAATTCTTCATGTGTGGCCAGTTTTCCAATTTTGTGTGAACAAAAACAACTGCATAATCTAACATAGGATCGTACCGTGGTGTGTTTTTTCCTCTATTTTGC